TGACTGGCTCTGCTATAATCCGTCCTTAACCTCCACCAGCAGAAAGCTGATAGAAACTTGAGTGAATTGGTGCAGTTATCTCCGTTAGTGTTCAGTCTATGCGTCTAAAATTCCCAGTGATACCTTTATTCTTCACTTTCACTGATTCTCTTCTTCTTCCTGCATTCACAACGTTGTTCAGAAAAGGTTTCAACATTTCTGTGAAGTCCCAACTTTGCTACTTGCAGACTAGAGCTAACGTTGCAGACTGTCTTTGTAATTAATTGGGAAATTTCCGTCATTTGTCCTTTTGCTGAGATTATTTTTAGTATCAAGCCCTGAGTCTTCCAGACGTGTATCTGAGCTTCTTCAGCAAACATTTGAGTTTGTTGCTAGCCTTTGGTGAAGGGTATATGTGGTGTGAAGAGCAGTGGGGAGAGATGATGTGATGTCCAACCAGGAAATCCTACAAGGCATCGTCTGCTGGGATGTCAAAGTAGGAGTGTAAGGGTTAAAGTGTCTGAATGTGCTTTTGTTGGGCTGATTGGAGAGGTTGCTTCTAGATGTTGAAATCAGTAGAGGGAGGGGAGTTTACAGAGAGATAATTTATTCATGTGTTCAGTTTTAAGGATTAAGCAAAATTAGGACATATATATTAATATACTATAATATGTTTTAATTTAATATATGTTAAAATTGCTTAATTTAGTATAACATGTTTCTGCAGCAGTAAGTTAGTAAAAGCAAAAGTAAAAGCTTATTTATTCCCCGATTCTGGAAACCTGATGCAAATTTTATGGTAATATATACTGGGTCCCCTTTCTCCTAAGACTAATTGTATGTAGTCAGGCTTATTGTGCATGTGAGCACTATTTATACATTTTGTGCTGTTTGCAAATAACTTGTTCTCTGTTCACAGATGTACGTAAAATCAGACAGGGAGGTAAGTAGCATTATATAGCAAAGACAATAGCCATGTTTGTGTTAGCCTATGGACAGCAGGATCTTGTGATACTTGGAATAATGAAAGCACAGTTTATAAAAATAGATGTGGAGGAAAATATGGCTGATTTGGAACTGTGCTGCCTTCTGTGAAAAGCTGCTGTTGTTCTCTATTCGCCTAAGAAGGTGATATGGGTTAAAGGAAAGTGCTTTGCATTATATTGCCATGCTATTATTTCCCAGTAGATCATTTGTTGCTATTTACCACCAAATAAAAAAATTAGAAATGTCCCATAAGCAATAATAGTTTGAGTGCCTAACCTTTGTAATGGTTGTAAGGTTATGCACAAAAACCCACTAAAGCTTGTTTTCTCAGTTGGCTTCCACTTTGGTCATAGTACTGTGGTTATATGGCACTTTTCTGTGTGAATCACTCTAGTCATCGGTTCCTTGGTGGTGGGGAACAAGCAGCCTCCTGCATTGTCTTATTGCACTGGGTCAGGGTGGGGAAAGTCCTTACAACAGTGTTTGAATATCTGTTCCTGCAAAGGTATCAGATTATTAAGAGCTTCCTGTTACCACCAAGTGGAACAATTCAAAGTATTACTTGCCTGGATCCCATTGGGGTCACATGCATTACAACGTTGCAGTCTCCTCAGTGATGTCAAATGATGATGCTTAATTTTGCATTGAGGTGGTTGGGTTAGGTGAGTTATTGGTTGGTTGATTTGATTTTTAAAGTATGAAGATGAAAAAATAGCTTTGTAGCTTTTAGTGGATTTGCTGTCACAGCTTCTGAATCACATGTCATCGCATGTCTTATGGGGAGTGGCTGAGGGAACAGGGATCGTTCAGTCTGGAGAAGAGCAGGCTCAGGAGAGACCTTATTGCTCTCTCCAACTGCCTGAAAAGAGGTTATGGTGAGATGGGGGTCAACCTCTTCTCCTTCATAGCTAGTGATAGGATGAGAGAGAATAGCCTTGAGTTGCATCAGGGTGAGGTTCAGGTTGGATGTTAGGAAAAATTTCTTCTTTGAAAGAGTGGTCAGGTGCTGGGACAGGCTGCCCAGGGAGGTGTTCAAGAAACATTTAGATGTTTTACTAAAGGACATGGTTTAGTGGGGAATTGGTGGTGGTAGATGGATGGTTGGACTGGATGACCTTGGAGGTCTTTTCTAACTTTGGTGATTACTGTGCATCTTGGTATAGTATCTTCTGTAAAATGTTAATATTTTACTACACAATGACCTGGCACTAATAGAAGAAAATGCCAGCTTCCACTGAACTTCTAAAATCTATCTTATGTTGGCTGTTCCCCCAGTTTTTGTCTTACCAGCTTTTTTAGCTGTCTTGGTAGTCTGTATTTCTGACAAAGTGACACACCTGTGTAATTGGGAGGACTTTTTTTTTTTTTCCTTTGGAAGACAGAGTAGGAATGGAAAATTATTTAAGTATAATTCATATTTTAGTTAGTGCTTAGAAATGAATTATAACTCTCTTATATAAGGAAATACTAATAGTTGAAGTCATTCCCACTAGTCAATGAAAAGGGACTTAATCCCAAAGGATCCCAGGCAAATATGGAAATCCTCTCAGCTTCCCAGTGCAGACTTATTTAAAAAATGAGCATTAAGCTAATTGCACAGAGAGAACCAGAATATGGAAAGTGCTTGCAATCCTCTCCATTACACAAGTTGAATCCACATGGATGAACAAAGAGTGCAAAGAGAGCCTAGTATCTTTTTAAGGCCGACAGCAATTAACAGCATCAAATAAAGGCAGGACACATGCTGTGTCAGAGATGCAGTGTGTTGGAAATGTTAAATTATATAGTATGTACTTTGTGTTTAGACTAACGTGTGGGATGGTATAACACGATCCCTGCCCTATGAGGAGAGACTGAAGGAACTGGGGCTGTTTAGTCTGGGGAAAAGGAGGGTGAGGGGAGACCTTATTGCTCTCTTCCAATATCTGAAAGGTGCTTACAGCGAAAGTGAGGCTGGTCTCTTCTCACTGGTGACAGTGGCAGGACGAGGGGAAATGGCCTCCAGTTGCACCAGGGTAAGTTTAGGTTGGAAACACTTCTTTACAGAAAGGGTTGTGAAGCACTGGAATAGGCTCCCCAGGGAGGTGGTTGAGTCACCATCCCTGGATGTGTTTAAAAATCATTTGGATGTGGTGCTCAGGGACGTGATTTAGCGGAGGGTTGTTAGGGTAGTATGGTTAGGTTATGGTTGGACGTGATGATCTTTAAGGTCTTTTCCAACCTGAGCAATTCTATAATTCTATGTTAGTGTTGTGTGCAACTTCCTCCTGGCACTTCTGTTTTCTAAGAAGTGAGCCCAAGTGCTTAAACAGAGGGAAGTTAACCCAAGACAGTACAATTGCATGTAACACTGACAGTGCCCTGCCCTGCTGATATGCAGGGAAATCTTTGGAACCATTCAAGTCAGCCTGCAAGGTGGGAAGGGCTGAGGCTATGCAGCCATGGATGCTAAAGCATTTTCTTTTCATGCTTTTGCCTCCTGTTAATGCAAATATTCTCCAGTTAGGGTTGTGGCTGCTCTTAAAAACAGTTCAAGAGCTCGTCAAAGCAAGCAGTGGAAGTTGGGGAGGTTCTCCTGCCTGTGTAAATTTGGTTTTCCTGATTTCTTAGAAGGGTAGGATGCAGTGACCTCAATGAGACTCCCCTAAGGCGCTGTCATCACTTCTTAGGAATTTGGGAATACCACAATCTATATGGGAAAAACAGCTGCTGCATTTCTTAGAGTGAGAGAGTACAAGTGTGTGACTCGGTCTTCCCTAATTAAGCCGCTTGGCACCAGGAAGAGGAAGGTGCCCTTCATTTTTAACCTGCTGAAGAAACAAGGGGAAGTCAACAGGAGCGCATGAGCAGGAGGTGACACCTCGCAAGCAGCAGCAACACCCAGGGCTCTTTGGTCTCAAGTGAGGCCCACATGCATTGCTCGCAGAGGGGATGTGCCAGCCTCTGCCTCAAGATCTTCTGCCCCAGCAGCACTTTGCCACACGCAGCTTAAAGAGTTTGATCCGTCACCTCCCATCTTGCTTTCTTAAGGACACGTGGCTTTAAATTAATTCATAGGCACCAATGTACTCCCTTAGGTTCCTGATTTTGGACATCAGATTCTGTTATTCTTTTGGAACAAAAGCTTATTACCATCTCAATCATCTTAACGGCATAAAAAAAGATTACAGATTGTGCTCACTTTTCCTCCAGAAGCGATACGACGCGTCTCTGTCCAAGCTTAAGTCAACCATGTTTAGCTTTAGCACTGATGAGTAAGTGAAAATGCAGGAGATGTAAGCACGCATCCGTCCAGCGAAACTGTTTACATTCCATAGTTGGGGATTCTTTTATTTTTTCTTTGCTATTGTGCTGTGCAGTTTTTTTGCCTGTTCTAATTTGCCATGACGTGGTCAGTGCAGTTTCCTTCCGGCTGCTCGCAAGCCTGTGGTCGAGATAAGGATACATTTAAGCACGTTTTTAAAAAGAAGCTGAAGATCTGCTTCATGTAGAGACTTGGGGACTCTTTGGCCTGCATGAGGAATTTATTGGCTGTTTTTCTGTTGTGAACCGTGGGAATCGAGATCAAGGGCATTTCTTTTGCTAAAGAACAGCCCTGCAGAATTGGAACTGTGTGTGAGGCAGAAAGGTGATACGCTTGAGGTATCCTGCAGCTCGGTAGGTCAGTGTGTGTTCTGTGTTTTGTTTTTAGTATAACTTGAAGATAATTAGTTAAAACTGCATCAGGTGAAAAGATGGATTTTCTTTTTATTAGCTTTCATAACTTCTTCTTTGTGTTGGTCGAATGCTTTTAAAATGAAACACTTTGAAACTTGTGTCTTGCTTCCTGAAACCATCCCATTTTTTTTAAGGGAATGAACATTTGCATGTATTGATTAGTGGAAGTAATACCTTTGGGGATCAGAAGGTGTCCAACTTTCTTAGAGCCTGGTAAAACACTCGTAGATATGACCAAGCTTTATAGTGAGAGCTGTTCTTTCGGGAAGCTAAAGCAATCAGATCCTAATTTGTATTTCTTTTTTTTCCTTCCTCAGAGATACACAGCTGTCCACGTGAGAGAAACAACTCAGGAAAGAATTTTCCTTGGTTTCTTTGAGAAGAGAAGGACCCCAGAACGCTGATGATCTAAGAACTACTGAAACTGCCACTTGGTTCATTCTGTGATCCTGCCTTTCTGCCCTGCTGCACCCTGGTGACACTGTCCATTCTTTTCATTTGAGAACATTTTTCTTCTTATGTGGAGCTGAGAGCTGGGAATGCGTTATTATGGCAGCAGTTGTACAGCAGAATGAGCTTGTGTTTGAATTTGCCAGCAACGTCATGGAGGATGAGCAGCAGGTATGGGATGGTGGAAGAAATGGCATTTGTACGAATTGATTCAAGGAATGTTAGGAAAACATGAGGAAAAAGTGTTGTGTAAAACACAAGAAAGCAAACACTGAGATCATTATTGTTGCAGCAGATCTCTGCAGTTTCAAAAGCTTCCTGTTGCTTCCTGTAACTTGCACGAGCAGAGCAGAAATTGGTTCAAGTGTTGTAACTTCTGCAGTATTGCAGAGACCTCCTCTGAAGATGTTTTTCCTTTGTCACTGATTTGTGCCAGTAGAATCCATTCACGCTGTAAAATTCCTGACATTCTGGTATTTGACAGCTTTAAGTTTTGTGGTGTGCTAGGATAAAATCCAGGACAAAGCAACTGTCACACTACAGATGACTAGAAGGAGCAGTAAGTGTCTGCCCTCTGCTCTTTGCAGATTGGTTTGTGAATTGCATTACTGTGTGTATGTCAGCTATTCAGAACTAAGCTTCAAAATAACTTAAATGGGTTTCTTTCACACTGCGGGGATGCTACCTGTTTCTGTCTCATAAAACTCTTAGGTAGTTTTAGATGATCAAAACCACATCCTCTGACTCCTGAGGCTTCAGCAGAGGAATCCTAGTGTAAAACTCGGGCAGCTCTTCTATGGGTGGTGGTTCATGATAGGGTTTTGCATTGGTTAACAATAAGTTGGGCATCTTACTACTATGGAGTGGTATTTCTTAGTCTTGTGGAGATATTAAGACTTCTTAGTCTTATAGAGGAACAGCTGAGAAGACTTGCTGCAAATTGTTCCTCTTTTTGTGAATGCGAAAAGTACTTGTCCTCTGCTTTAAAAATACTTTTGGCTTCGTAACCTTGTCTCTGGGTTTTTTCTGTGTCCTCATGTTTGGCTGGGTCAGTGTCCCGTTTCTGCTGTCAGACTCGTGCGATCGTTTCAATGAACTGAGTGTTGTCTGTCTGAAGTGCTAACTCAGTTTTGGGTGGAACTAGTAATGTAACTTCCTTCCCTGTATTTTTCCAGAGCCTGTGGCAGTCTGGGGATTTAGATATGGGAATTACACAAACACAGTGGAAAATGAGCTGTATTTATTACTTCTGTATGTTGTTTGTTGTTGTTTTTACTTTACAAGCCAATGGGAGAATTGAAAAGATGAGGGCTGTTTCATTGTGATTTCTTGGAGGAGCAGTGCAAGAAACGTGTCTTTCTTTGTTTTAGCTATGCGTTTTGTCTCTTGTGGTTTCTTCAGATGCTCACCTGAAAACTTAACAAACAAACAAACAAACAAACAAACATGGAGCACTCAAGAGTAAAACCTCCCTAAATGGAGCTCTCCTAAATGGAGGCCAAACTTAACCTTGGTGTGTATCTCGTAACTCAGATAAATCCTACTCCAAATTAAGCCTAAGGAAAAAAGGCATCCTGGAGCATACCCTACAGGAGATGTAATCAAAGATGGGGAAGGCCATAGCAAAGCATTCCTTGCTGCAAACACTTGGATGGAAGCTCTGTTTAAATCAGTAGGTCGACTTAGTTCATATATCAGAGATTCAGGTAGCCAGGTAGATGTCTGCCTGAAGGTAGATACTAAATTTGCAATTGTGGAAAAGAAACCTGAAGTAGGCAAAGATGTGGGAAGTTGGAACAAGATTTAACTCAGATAAAGGTGGATAATATGCTATTAACACAAAAAGGTTGATTATGTGTATAAGTCATTGATCTGCTTCTTACAATGTAGAAACTATTGGTACAAGTACTATGAAGTTTTTTCATTTCTGGACAGTTTATATTTTGGGATATATACCATAACTTGTGTACTTTGAGCGTTTTAGTTCTAGAAGTGCTCTGTGTTGATTAAAAACATTTTTTGAGCTTCATCAGGATACAAAATCATAGAATCATAGGATTGATCAGGTTGGAGAAGACCTTAAAGATCAACTCCAACCACGACCTAACCATACTGTACTAACTACCCTCTGCTAAATCATGTCCCTGAGCACCACATCCGAACAGTTTTTAAACAAACCTAGGGATGATGATTCAACCACTTCCCTGGGGAGCCATCTTTATATACAGGTGTCAGGTAATTGATCTTTAGGTAACAATTTTTGCTATTTTCTCAAAAGTTGGAGTTGAAGATACTTTGATAGTCATGTTCTTGTCGAGGCTTTGTCTGGAGCCCTTTTGCGCCAAGAACTGTTAGGACATGGAACAGCTGTGGGGAAAGGTTCAGAGCCTAGATGGCAGCTACATTCTGTGTTTCAGGGAAGTCATAATTCATGGCCATTTATTTATTTTCTTTTAAGTCTTGGTTAAACAGCCATAAATTACAAACAGTCTATTTGCAAATCTAAGCATTCAACCAGTGGCAGCTGCCAGACTTTGTCATGTGGCCCTGTGTGAACGGGAAGAGCTCTTTTCTATCAGATTTATCCCTTTCCGTTTAGAAAGTAATGGTTTTTGTTTGTTCTTTTCTTTTTATCCTCAGAGGGCTCACTTGTAACATTGTGCTTTACATGATGAAGAAGAAATGTGGTGAAAATATCTTCATAATTTTGAGAAGGGAACCAAATGGCTAATACTAATGATACTGAAAAACTGCGCAGGAGCTCCTACAGGCTTTGGCTGAGTCAGCACTGCTGTCCAGAACTTTTCTTTACGTCTGCAGCTTAGAATCATAGAGTCAGAATCCTTAGAGTTGGAAGGGACCTTTAAGTGTCATTTAGCCCAACTGCCCTGCAGTGAACAGGGACGTGCCTTATCCAGCCTTGCCTTGAAAGTATCCAGGGACTGGGCATCAACCACATCTCTGAGCAACCTGTTCCAGTGCCTCACCACCCTCACTGTAAAAGACTTTTTCCTCATATCCAACCTAAAGCTACCCTCTTTAAGCTTGAAGCCATTTCGTCACAGACCCTTCTATTGAGTCTGTTCCCTGCTTTCCTGTAGTTCCCCTATAGATACTAAAAATCTGTTATCAGGTCACTTCAGAGCCTTTTCTTCTCGAGGCTTAACAGCCCCAGCTCCCTCAGCCTGTAACTAGAGTCTGTGCCCATAGGTTGGTCAACGACTTCTGCCCCATCTTCTCAGACCTTGATTTACTCTTCCATGTTCCCTGATGCTCTGTCATATGAAGTCACCTTGGGAAAACTAGTGGTACCAGAGCTGAAAGCCACTGTCAAGGCCAAGTTCTACCTTTTTGTCTATTTCCAGCTTCTGCAGGAAGTCCCCACTTTTCAGCTTACTGTTTTATAAAGACTCAGGAAATGGTTGTGAGATCCATACTGAGGTACTCCTAAGCAGTATTTATCTTCTCCCAAAATCCCTCTTTGAAACTTGGTCGTGTCTCAGATCCTGTCCGTGGGAACGCCTGGAAAGTTGAGAGGCTGCTTCAGTGTTTGGCACGGGGACATCTGTGAGAAAAAGCTGAAGCCCATTTTCCAGTCACCAAGATCACTTTGCCTAGTTTTTATTAGTTTTTTTTCTTGTTTGTGCCTCTTGATTTTATTATTTTCCCAAAATAAATGGCTAACTGTATCTTAAATATGAATACTGTTGCTTTTTTACAAAGCCAATTTTTGCATGGAGGCTGCTTCTGTCTTTAATCCCCATTTAACTTTTCCTTCTTAATATCTCTTGCGTGCTTTTCTTGCAACTGATCACTCATAAATTTCTTCTAAACCACTTGGAAGCTATTCACTGTATTCTTGGGACAATGTTTTCCAGTAAAACTAAACATTTTTTTCTTAGATTGGATCTGGATTGTCTCATAAGGTGACACTACATCCAGAGCAGAAGAAATCCCCTTTATTATTTTCGGTTTTTGCACGAAGTTTTAGTTTTTCCCTTCACAGGGGGTGGCCAGTACTTTGCAGAGACCTGTTCATGGGACATTGAAGGAACTTCAGCATCTGTCTGAAGTTTCATGCTCTTCCAAATAGTTATAGGTCCATATACAGGGTTGGCTTGCAGAAAAAATTACACCGTGAGGGATTTAACACGTAAGACTTGGGAAGATTTTAGCATAAGCTGAAGTCCTTTGTTTGCCCAGCAGATGAGGAAAATGTGTTGAAGCCAAACCAAAGCTTTGGTATGGCTAGGATGCCATGTTTTAACTGTATCATGGTGATAGTAGGAGAAATGTGAAGCAGGAAACGTAGGCAAAGTAAAAAAAATATATATATATGTGAATTGCTCTTTCTGTCAGTTTACTTGATTACTTGAATACTGCAAATGCTTCAATCTAGGGCTTCTCTTTAAAAAAATGTTTGGAATGGGAATGTCACTTTGCCTTTTTTTGTTAGTGCACATAGAGGAACCTTTTTATTTAGAAATATATTTTTGTGATCTTGCTGTTAGAGAATTAATAAAATCTAATTAATCAGAGGGTTATGCTCAGTGGTGCAGAGTCTAGTTGGAGGCCTGTATCTAGTGGTGTTCTGCAGGGGTCACTACTGATCTGGTCTTGTTTAACTGCCACTAATGGCCTGGATGAAGGGATAGAGTACATTCTTAGCAAGTTTGCTGGTGATAGGAAGCTGGAAGGGTTGACTGACACACTGGAAGGCTGTGGTGCCATTCAGAAAGAAATGGACAGTCTGGAAAGTTGGGCAGAGATTCAACAAGGGTAAGTGTAGATTCCTGCACCTTGGGAGGAATAACCGCAAGCATCGGTACAGGTTAGGGACTGGCCTGCTGGAAATGAGCTCTGCAGTGAAGGACCTGGGTGTCCTTGTGGACAACAGGTTGGCTGTGAGCTAGCAGAGAGTGCCCTAGAGGCCCAGAAGGCTGATGGTATCCTGAGGTGCATTAAAAAGAGTGTGGTCATCAGGTTGATGGAGGTGATCCTTCCCCTCTACTCTGCCCTGGTGAGGCCACATCTGGAGTACTGCGTCCAGTTCTGGGCTCTTCAGTTCAAAAGGAGAGGGATCTCTTAGAGAGAGTCAAGCGGAGGGCCACAAAGATGATGAACTACTTGGAGCATCTCCTACATGTGGAAGAACTGAGAGACCTGGGCCTGTTCAGCCTGGAGAAGAATGAGAGGGGAATCTTATCCATTCTTATACATATCTGGAGGGTAGATGTCAAGTGGATGGGGCCAAGCTTTCTCAGTGGTGCGTAGAACCACAGCAACAAAACAGGGGGCAATGGGCACAAATTGGAACAAAAGTAATTCTGTATGAATATGAGGAAAAAATTCTTTACTCTGAGGGAGACAGAGCACTGGATGAGACTGCCCAGAGAGGCTGTGGATTCTCCTTCTCTGGAAATATTTGAAACCTGCCTGGAGACTTTTCTGTGGAACCTACTACAGGGAATGTGCTGTAGCTGAGGGCTGGACTAGATGATCTCCGGAGGTCCCTTTCAACCCTTACAATTTGTGTGATTCTGTAATTAATAATAAATAGTAGTCTTTAATTCAGCAGTGTTTTCCCGTTATGGAATTATACAGAATCGTCACATGGAGCTGTAGTGGTCATGGCCACTTTTGCAATTTGAAATATGTACAAAATTATTCCTCTGTTTTGAGAGGTACAAGAAAGTTGAGCTTGCCCCATAATTGGGATTCAGGTACTTGCAATGAAATCAAGAACATTACAGAGGTGCTAAGGTGAGATTTTATCTTTCAATGGTTTTGTGTGTTTCAGTATTTATTAGTAGTAGCACTTAAAACTGAATGAGCTGCTTGTGAAAGGAATCATAACCAATTGCAAACATACAATTTTTTATTCTTTTTATTCAATTTTTTTCTTCAGAAATGTCTTCTGTATTCAATTTGTTTGCAGTTGCATTTATGTTTTCCTCACTGAAGATGTTTATTGGTATCTGACCCAGCATCTCCTTTTCATATCCATGGCAGGTTAAAAGATCCATGCATTATACAGCAGCAATAAATGATTGGGAAACAGATCTATTAATGATTTAAAATAAAAAAACAGGCCTCAAGAAGTGATACTTAATGACTCCAGTTTAAAGCTTTTACTAGTTTAAAGAAAATCCCACTTGGTGTCCTGGCATCAGCAAATGCTCTTCTACACTTAGTTGCTTCCTCTGACTTTTGTCTTTTCCAAGTGTATTGTCAGCAAGCTCCTTGAATTGGCCAGTGCTGATTTGGGTGATCAAGTATTTCCCTGCAAGATGGATTTCTGTACCTGTAGAGGAACACACATGTCAGAGTGTGTTCATGGCAATTATTTCCTGGCATAATCAAGATTCAGCTGAGCCTTGCAGAGTAGACCATGCTTGATCAGACGGATCAGACCCACTGCTACATAGTGGTGAAGGATGGTACCTTAATGAGTGGGTGATTGGGCTGTTGTAATTCACAGCAGAGTGACTAATAGTGCTGGAGATAAATAGGATTTTGAGAAATGGAGATAAAAGTGGTGAAGAGTCTGTTTGTTCTTTGTTTCCTTTCTTATTATGAAACAGAAGACTGAAGAATAACTGTGGTGTTGGAGGTGGTTTTTGCCTCTTGGAGACAGTGGTATGAGCTTCAGTCTTGGAGAAGGATGGTGCTAAGTCAGAGTCAACTTCTATCCAGAAGGAACTAATGAGAGGCTCATCCTAAGCACAAATGACCCCTTGAGAGACTATCCCGTACAAACTTTGCAAGCCCTGCATATCAAACTAGAGCAAGCACAGCAGCAGGAAGGAAAGACAGACCGCCTCACTGCAGGAAGGCAGCTGACCAGTTTCAGATCATAGCATCATAGAACGGCTTGGGTTGGAAGGGGCCTAAAGCATCATCAAGCTCCAACCTCCCTGCCACATTCAGGGTTGCCAACTTCCACATTTAATACTAGACCAGGCTGCCCAGGGCCCCATCCAACCTGGCCTTGAACACTTCCAGGGACAGGGTATCCACAACCTCTCTGGGCAGTCTGATATAGTACCTCACCACTCTCATAGTAAAGAACTTCTCCCTGATATCCAACCTAAATCTTCCTTCCCTCAAATGGCAGTTTTTGTCCTGCTATTATAGATGTGTTCAAGCTGGATGTTTACACCAGGATTAGGCACCCTGACACCTGCTCCTTTTTATAGTCAGTGGAGAGAAATAGGTGTTTTTATAGGGCTTGATTCATCCCTGTGACACAGGAGCCTAAAACTGGTGAGGGAGATAGTGCTCTATAAAAACCTTTCTGTTGACTCTGAAAGAAACCTAGGCTCAGTGGATCAAGTCTTAGTACCTCAGTGCTTGAAGTCAGGTGTGATGAACATCACCCCTAGTGTCTATGAGCTAGAAAAGGACGAGAATATCAAGGTCTTCATATTTTTGCCTTCCCTACCTAAAATCCATACTTTTCACCTTCTTAGTAGACTACTGAACAGATGCTTGCAGAACACGTGCTCTTCTTGCTTGCAGGTGACACAAACCTGAGTGCAGTACGTAAGCTTTTTTTGCAGTTGCTATTTTTAATATTTTTATTTATTAATGTTATTTTTAATATGGTGGTTACATATACACGTGCACATTATTTAACTGGCACATCATGACTTACAAACTGTGGCATATTTCTAAAATTGGGATCTTCAGCTGCTTAGTACCATGAATTCTATCACAGCAACATAGCTATAATGTTGCTGTGTGTCCTTCTAGTTCGTAGAACTTACTGTTCAAAATCTTCCAAATGCAGACAGTATTTTATTTTTCATCTCATTACACTGCTCTATCTTTTTTTGCTTATTTTGCTTGTATTTGGTTTTGTAGGCTTTTAATTTTTTAGCAGAGCATTTATGATAGTAGCCCCTAGAAATATTAGTTTTGTTTCTGACCTCTTCATTTTTTTCCCAATTGCTCTTTACCACAGTTGTTGAGGCATGATTTACAAAACACAGAACAATTTCAGATGGTAATTACTGCCTCATAAAGATCCTAGTTGTACTTTCTCCTTTCAGTATGTATGTTCTATATTCTTCCATGGGAGATGACGACTCCCACTGCTGTTCTCTGCATGGAGGCAGCAGCTCTGAGACCATTTTCTGCTGCTGGTGGCCTGTGCAGTGGCAAGACTGTGAGACATGAGCAATGCCCAAATGAGCATTATTACATATATTGTTGTTTTTCTTATTGCATGGTTAAATAATAATAATAATAATAATAAACCCTGCTTGATTTTTGCATATCATAGAATGGCCTGGGTTGAAAAGGACCACAATGATCATCTGGTTTCAACCCCCTGCTATGCGCAGGGTCACCAACCACCAGACCAGGCTGCCCAGAGCCACATCCAGCCTGGCCTTGAATGCCTGCAGGGATGGGGCATCCACAACCTCCTAGGGCAGCCTGTTCCAGTGTCTCACCACCCTCTGTGTGAATATCTTTGTTCTTTTCTGGAGTGAGGCCAGTGGATTTTCTCATAGGAACACTTTGGAGCAACATTTGGTTTGTTTTCTTGTTTTTAAGTGTGCCAAACTCAGAATGTGGCTTATTTTTATAGTGAGAGAGCCGTAGAGTTACACAAGACTTCCTTTGAGCTTCCTATGCTGCCATCCACTGACTTTCTTCCTGCAAATGGCGTCTGGAAATCACACAGAATCTTTTTGGAAAATACTTTCTCTATCATAAATGGCATTTTCTGCAAACCTCTTCCTGTTGAATGGTTGCTCTTTTGGAGAATGTGCATCTTCTTATTACTACTGACCAGCTTGATTTCGGCTTTTGCAAGTGCCCTTTTTCTGTTGTATCTTATGGAAAATAACTGTTGAGAGAGAAGGATGATGGCTGAAAGCAGGCTTTAAAGGAAAGTAGGGGAGCAGTGGCAAGTGAAGAAACCACAAGAATTAGAGGTACGTGTATCAAGCACTCCTTGTTTCACTTGTTATCCTCATAGTAAGTGACCTCCTAGGCTACTGTCTCACAGAAAACTCAGTGCTGGTGAGACCTTTCTGCAATGCTCACAGCCACACCATCCTCTGCCCGCAGCTAGACAGGAAGAGCAGAAGGTGCTTGCAGCAAGTTGTTTGCTGCTGTCATTTGCCAGCAGAGTTTGACTTCTACTGCACTGCTCCATTCCTCTTTTCTGTCAGCCTTTTAGCTGCAAAATGCTGTTGTGGGAGTCTTGTATAACCTCCTGCGACCATGTCAGTGTATTATATACTATCTGTAGTGATATTCAGCCTCTGGCCCATGGCGGGACACTGCTGCTCTTTTTGTTTTGTGTGCTAAAAATCATCTTGTTTTTCAGTACTCTCTCCTGATCCTTTAATATTTAGGTGATGTGCTGTGGGTTTGTTGAAGTCTTCATCAGTAAATGCTTCAAGTGGGTACGTTCTAACTGCCATTACTTTAATTTTCCTTCTTTATTTTTTTCTACAGCTTGGTGATCCGTCCATCTTCCCTGCTGTCATTGTGGAACATGTCCCTAGTGGAGATCTCTTAAACAATTATTCTGGCTTAACCTGTGTGGATGAGCCCAGTGACATGATCACTGAGAATTCTCTAGATGTTGCAGAGGAACAAATCATCGAAGATGATGATATCCCCCTCACAGGTTTGCAATACAGTTTTTTTTTTTATCTACAATACTTTTGCAACAAGGTGGTTGTGGCTAGCAGCAAGGAAAAGCTGAGTACAAAAATGTATAAGAAACAAAGTTATAATGATACTGAATGCTGTCAATCCTGTGCTGCAAGACTGAGAAGATGGCATTAATTCCAGTACCAGGTGGCTTGCGATTCCAGCTGTACAGCTGGTACAGTGACCCATCATCCATCAATATAGATTAAGATAGGGTTCTACTCAGAGTACCAAAACAGTTGTGTATTGCTCTTAATGTTATTTTTTTGCCCCTTTTTTAGTGGTTGGTATGTACTTGAGTAAACATATGTACCAAAAAAGCAGCAACATACAGCATGTGTAGATGTATTATTTTGATTTCTTGAGGGTATGCAAATAGCCAACTGTAAAATGTGCATGTCAGTGTGATGCTGATATTGGTGTGCTCAGCATAGTGTTCATTTTAGATCTGTAGTAATAAATGTTTAAAATACAAAGTTCTGCATAACTTCTGTTAGGGAGGATGGTGTAAAAGAGAAAGCTTGAGGATATAGCTGATCAAAGAAATTTATTAAAAACAAAGCTAAAACAAAAAAGCCCCCAAAGCAAACAATAGTTTGCTGAAAGTAGATATTTGGAGCATCTTTGCAGACTAAGTCTGAAAGGTGAGGTGGATGCTTTACAAAGCTGAGATCTGTTTGTGCCATCTTTCACTGATTAGGTTTTTCCAGCTGAGCTGTCCCCAGGGCTGGAGACAGCTTGCAGGTTTCAGTCACGGCTCTGACACTACTTCCAAAGGCTCTGTTACAGCCTTTTACCACCAAAAGCCAAACTCAGCAAAACTTGACATGAGGTGCAGTTCATAGAGTAAATTGACATGAACCATTCCCAATAAATGGTTTTATCTGATACATGTGGCCCCTTTTTCTTTAGTCATGAATTATCTGTGAACAGACTGTGACTGTACAAATAATTTAACTGATTATTCAAGAAAGTCTTACATGCCTAAACTTTATTTCAAGTTGAGACCTCTTGCCAACTATTCACTTGCTATTCATTTTAATTATTCACACTGTAACTGGCATTTCCTCAGTGTGTTATTTAAGCACCACTTAATGTGACTGTGTGAATATTTTGTAGTTGATGAATTTCATAGTTTTCCTGAATACGTATTCACTGTAATACATTGTGTGTGAATTGACAGTTGCATGAGTAATTGTGAAACTCTGCTTTTGTGACTATTCTTGTTAAGATTTTTTGTTGCTAACGTAAATAGTCACATGAGAAGGGTTTGCTGCCAGAGAGTGAAAATATGTAATCCTTGTAACTGATGGTGTCCAAGGGATACTTTGGAGGCAGACAAGCACTGCATTGTTAACATCTTCCATTGTAGCTGAAGCAATCTGTTTTTCTTTAAAGGCCAAGTCCTTAGAAAATGAGAGCTGTGACTTTGTAGAGATTGTTGTAATGAAGGAGATGCTAACTAATTATCTGGTTCACGCTGCAGCATGTGTGCTGCAGGTTTCTTTGGCCACTGGAAACTGAGTGCTTGGCTTTGCACAAAGAGATGACTCCAAGCTGACCAGCACCGCTGCTCAGGGCTCCTGTGGGGAAGGCACCTCAGCAGCTTATTTATATCAAGGAGCCTCTGCCAGTCCCTAGCAGGGCAGAATTACAGGGCCAGGGAGGACAGGAGCCTCCCATGAAAATGGGGAGAGAGCACAGAGAAGGAGCATGGCTTCATCACCCCTCTGTCCAGGTTTCAGGTACACAGCCCAACCAAACTGCCAGAGCAGGTGCAAGTGCATTTTGCAGTGGGCTGCTTGTGAAGTGGGGCTGATTGCAGCCTGCTTTGTTTTCTGGTTATTTCCTATCTTTGAGGCTCCCATCTTGATCTTAATTTGTGTGTGTTTGGCCTCAGCAGTGAAATGCGTTGTTTTGCTCTTGGAAGTTTGTACAACTCTTTTCAGTCACTTTCACATTATGCCTCTGAGAGAGAATCAGACCTTGTAAAGACTGTACTAATTCCAATTTAAAATATTGAGAGGACTGAAGTTCACAGCATAAATGAAACTGAAAATACCAACATTACTCAGAAATGGTTGCTAAATATGCATGAATCTTTTTTTTGAAGCTACGAGTTCTTCAGTACTGTATCTTTTTTTTTCTGTTCTACATTAAGCTTTCATTTTCCCCTAAACTACAAATAATTGAGTCTGCTGAAACTGCAGGAATTACTGTTGTGTTGTATCTGTAGAAGTGTAGACTCTGGTAGGCTTCTCTGCCTATAGGATCTAGCTTAAGCCATTCAAAACTAGCTATTACACTGCCCTGATTACTATCTGTAGTATAAATTATAACCTGCAGAAAACTACAGCTATAAGAACAGCATCTGTTTTACTTGAAATATTGCTGAAAGATAGCCAACAGCCAGTTTTCTAGCTATATTATACACAACCATAATATTTTATAATTAATAGATAGACTTGCCTTATCACTCTCTAAATTTACCAACACATTTCGCTGGAAGAACTGTGATGGCAATTTGCATGGTTGGTTTGTCGCCGGTATGATGTGACCCCAAACGATTAACTGCCATGTAGTAAAAGGTGATTAAGAAAATAGATTGGAGCACTTCACTTTGAATGATGTTTTATCACTGAAAAGAATATTGAGTTGTGTGGTGGTGGTTTTTTTTTGTCTCTCTGAAAAATACACTTTATTTACCTTAGTGTAACTAATTAGTTATAAAATGCACAGGAAGAAGGAACTAATTGGATTATGCAACTTCCTGAATTATTTTTTTCTCAAAGCTGGCATGTGTAATGTAAAAAAAACAGCAAGTAATCAAACTCTGCCATTTTGTGGTTCATCTGTGCCTCCTCACTGAAACAATGAGAAAGTTTGTGTGAGGGGGGAGAGACAAAAAAGAGGCTCTTTGATTCACTGTGCCCTGATCTGAATCCAGAGCAGGTTCTCATAGATCAGCAGTGAAACTTAACAACCAATTCAGAAGTTATTTTACAGTCTGTCCAAGTTAGGTAGCATTTGGCTTGTGCATTTGGTAAACCTCTAGCACTGATGGCACAAGCCAAACTGTTCAAGTAGGAGAACGAAGGGAAAGTGCTACGTGTTGTAACCCAGCACAACCCCAGCATGTTCTGTAATCATTTATAATGCTGCAAAGAAATCCAAAGCGCTGCTGAGTTGGAAACAGAATTTCACAGTCTTAATCCGTGAGGATTTTCAATTGACAAGATGCCAGTTGTAAAAAAAAAATAAAGTAGTAATAATAATAAAATAATGGATGAGATCTGTTACTTTGTAGAGAAGTTACTCAATACTGCTTATACCATCTGGATAGAAATGATGAGTGTTTTTCCATGCAGCTCCCCAGTGAGATAATTTTGCTTATAAATTTTAAAGCCATGTTTAAAAAGAAAAGGAAGTGTGATATATGGGTCTCCTTGAATCACGTGCATTCTTAAAGTAGCACTTGGTTTTCCAGCATCACTTCACAATTGGTGCAGAATTTCTATTAAAAAGCAATCACTTAAATTTAACAGTCAGTTATTCTGAAAAAAAGGTCTCAGTCTGTATGTAATGAATCTCTTCATTAAATTCATGGAGCATCTTTCCTATGAAGAAAGGTTGAGGGCACTGGGCTTGTTTAGCGTGGAAAAGAGAAGGCTTTGGGGAGATCTTATTGTGGCCATCCAGTACTGGAAAGGAGCATGTAAACAGGAGGGGGAATGGCTGTTTTTGAGGGTGGATAGTAATAGGTTTTAAACTGAGACAGGGGAGGTTTACTTTGGATATTAGGAGGAAGTTTTTCACACAGAGGGTGGTGACACACTGGCACAGGTTGCCCAGGGAGGCTGTGGATGCCCCATCCCTGGAGGCATTCAAGGCCAGGCTGGATGTGGCTCTGGGCAGCCTGGTCTGGTGGTTGGTGACCCTGCACATAGCAGGGGGTTGAAACTACATGATCATTGTGGTCCTTTTCAACCCAGGCCATTCTACGATTCTTCCTTCTTTCAGCAATTTTACATTTCTTCCAACATTATTCTGAGACTGTGATCCCTTTAGTTGGTGTATTTAAATACAGCTGTGACTAGCACAGGCTGTATCTAGTCCAGGCAAAGGCCCCCATGGTCAGGCCTTTGGGGCTGATTGCTTTGAGAGCTGTGTGACAGAGGGAGTGGGCTGGGATCCCTGAGCTGAGCGATGGGAAGTGAGCAGCCACCTTGTCAGGAGGTGTCAAGTAGGAAGGTGTAAAGCATTCAAAACTATGCTAGGTGGGAATTTGGGCTGAAGGGGGGAGCTTCAGGCTAGATGTCGAGTTTCTTTGTCCACCAGGTGAGAAGACAGCCTTGTCTGGGCAGGCCTGCTGCTGGCTGTGAGCTCTGCTGATTCATTGCAAACATGCATCCGCAGTAATTGGGTTGTAATTGGCATACACAGAGGCTTAAATTTGTGGCTTGCTGAGATAATCTGGAACTTGTTGAGTACCCTGGGAAAAAAATGTTACTTTTGGGTGTGGTTTGTTTTCCTTTATTTTTTTTTTCTTAAGTTGCTACCTATTTAAAATGGGTACTTTGAAATGGAAATACACAGCATTTTTGTAGCTGTGACTTTGAAGTGTAACAAATAAGTTCTTTCATCTCAATTCTTCTTTAGTTTGTGACTATGTCATAATTGCCATTCCAATTGGTAATTCCAATTGTGATTGGAATATATACTGGCAACGTTAAGGGAGAAACAGAAGTAACAGACAATGGCTTGCTCTTATTTGTTGGGTTGGTTATCTCTGAGAGCTATCTCAAGCTGAGTGCTGCTGCTAATAGGACAGGGAGGTTGTGATTACATTGCCGTGTGGCACCTCACAGCTTGTTTGTGTTGGCTTTTGAGTTCCTGTAATTCAACTTGCTAACCCAGCAGAACCCCTCAGATTTATGTTTAGCCATTGTACAGGACTCAGTTGCCTCACAGCGTGATCAAAAAAGTGTGAAGCCTGGCTTGTGTTGATAAGAGTTTGGATCGTGAACCAGGGGTAGAGGAGAATCAGAATCACATCCCTGTTTTTTCAGCAACAGAGCGATGAGTTTGGCTCAATCCTGCAAAGTCATCTTCTAAGAATCATAGAAATGCTCAGGTTGGAAAAGACCTTTAAGATCATTGAGTCCAACCACAACCTAACCCTACTACCCTAAGGAGGCTCCTGCAAAGCTGCCTACTGTAGGCTGTGAGCTGCCCGTAAGCACAGCGGGGTGTGGGAGGCAGGGCTGGTGCACGAATGCCCGCTCTTATCTTGGTCCTCTCCCAATGATATGATTGCAGAAGCTGTAAGCATTTGGAGTGAAACTTTTTGTTTGTTTTCTTAAATGTAGTGTGATTGCTGGTGGGCTGGGTGCTTTGTTGTTAGCGTCGTTTAAAGAACACGGTGCAGAAGTTGTATTTCTTGGCGTAAATCTTTGGCTTTAATGTGAAGAAGAAATGTTCTGAGGTTGTACGTGGTATGGCTGACAAAGGAGTCAGTCAGTCTCCTTTTTTTTTTTTTTTTTGTGTGTGTGTGTGACTGCCCCACCCCAAATTCCTCAAAGTTAAACAGGGAGGGTGTGAAGCTGACTCATCGCAGGGCTTAAGAAAGTAGCTAAGGTTCAGCTGTGCCCTATGGAGGGGACTACTAATGCAGACCTTTGCACTGCTTTGATAAACGTAAGTAAAATACTGAAAGTAGGTTCAAATTCATGACAAAAGACAAGGAAGCCTGGCCTGAGCATTTCTATCAAAGAAAGCAATTGGAGAACATTTCTAAAGGCTTACGGTACCCAAAAGTGAAACTGATGTATACCTTGTTATACTACGTTTATTTTGCAAACAATCCTCTGCTAAAGATACTCCTCTAGTCAAACTGAATTATCTTCTTGGGCTACTATTATTTCCAAATCTGCTTTTTGTGTCGGAAAAGAACTATTTTTATCAGATTTTTTTTGTGTTCTTCACATGGCCTTAATTATAAATTGAAGATCCAAGCGCTTTTGATTTGACTAATGGTCACCTGTATAAGACAAATGAGGGATTGTCTAGTTGTTAAAACTTTTGGAAAGCATACCAGCCCTTTCTATTGGTCTTTATGATAGTAATAATAATAATTTTTAATACTGCTTCCCTGGAGCATGCTCTGTTAGCTACACCTATCATCCCTACAGATTTGGAAGTTTAGTATTCAGTTGTACCTATATAAGCTGTCTAATAAAAGTTTGCCTAACTGTTCTCTAGGCTAAAAGACCATCTGTTAATTATGGAATTCTCTTTCTTAGGAGCACCATAAGAAGAAAGCACTACCCTTTTTTAAGAGTAGTGTATACAATATTGTTTGGGATAGTGGCTTTTTCTCAAGGATTATGGGCATGGTGTTTTATTGCATGTACTTCATCAGCACATCGAGGGGTTAGAAAAATGAGGCAGAAATTAAAGTCTTTTTTGTTTTAATGCACTACACTTTTAAAACTAAATGTGTACTTTTTCTCCCCAGATAAACTGTTATTGTTCATTTAGTCGAGGCTGCTTTCCATTTTTGTTTTAGAAATGATACAGAAGTAAATTTACAGCTGTTTACAAGGGTGGGCAGTGATAGGACAAGCGGGAATGGTCTTGAACTGAGACAGGGGAGGTTTAGGTTAGATATTAGGAGGAAGTTTTTCACACAGAAGGTGATGACACAGTGGAACAGGTTGCCCAAGGAGGCTGTGGATGCCCCATCCCTGGAGGCATTCAAGGCCAGGCTGGATGTGGCTCTGGGCAGCCTGGTCTGCTGGTTGGTGACCCTGCACATAGCAGGGGGTTGAAACTAAATGATCATTGTGGTCCTTTTCAACCCAGGCCATTCTACGATTCTTTGATTCTATGATAAATAACATATTTTAAATCTATTTTGTAGCTTGTTTAGAATTAATTATTTTCTTTTGCTTTCAGTTGAAACATCGTGTCATAATGGAGATGAAACTATGGAAACAATTGAGGCTGCTGAAGCACTTCTCAATATGGACTCCCCTGGTCCTATGTTGGATGAAAAAAGAATAAGTAAGATTTTTTTTTTTTTTTTTAAGAAAGTGAATCCAGTCTGTGTTTGACTTGTTTGCTTTTGTGTGACAAGGAGAGGTTCAGTGTTGTGTGATTGCCTGGAATGAGTAGGAATATTTTTCTTCCAAGTAGACCTTAGATGCATAGTTTGGGTATCAGAAATCCAGTGTTGCATGCAGTAAGGAGTTTCGCTTCCTTGAGAACATGTTGATCCCAGAGTTGAACATCAATAGATAAGGAAGAAATTAAGAATTGAAGGGAAAATGTGAATTAAGTGTTTAGACTGTTCTGTTTTGTTCCTCTGATAGAGAATGAGTGTATTTATGTTTGACCAAGAAATGTGGATGCCTGGAAGTGTTCAAGGCCAGGTTGGATGTGGCTTTGGACAACCTGATCTAGTGGAAGGTGTCCCTGGACAGAGAAGGAAGTTGGAACTAGGCAATGTTTAAAGTCCCTCCCAACCCAAACAGTTCTGTGATTCTGCACTGGCAAGATAGAAGAACATATACTTACATCTGCAAATTCTGTTAACTACGAATAAAAATGTGTGAACACACACCATAACAGTGCTTTTTAGGATAGTAGGTTATGTCATTGCACTTGTCTATTTTAATACTTCTTCTGATTGTGGATGGATGTATTCAGTTATGAGCTGATTTCATCCTATTATCCCTTTCCCTTAAGCAGCTATGTTTGGCTCAACTGAAGATGAAGATATAGTGGCTCCTATTACACATGTATCAGTCACTCTTGATGGGATCCCCGAGGTTGTGGAAGTTCACCAAGCCCCAGACCCTTATGCTGAGTCACCAGAGACTCCAGAATTTGAACAACCAAAGAAGAAAAAGGGTAAGATGCTATTGCAGAGCAGTTTTGAGGAGTAGAGAGCAGTCAGTGGCATGCTTACATCTTCTCGTGAGTCTGTGGAGCCATCCTGGCTGACAAGTCAAAAGAATCAAGTGTCCTCTGCTGGAAATACAGAGAATGCTTTGTCTGACTGTAAGTCCAAGCCCGAATGCTGATGCTTAGATATTGATGATGCTGGAGGGGTAGCAATGGTTACTTGCCTTAGGAAACATAGATCTTTACTCATTCCTATTTCTAGTTTCTTAAGAGGAAAATTGCATTACAAACTGCAGAGTTTGCACTACCATGAAAGCTGAAGTATTTTAATTAGATTTTATTTTGCTTTGACTAAAAAAAGATTTGTTATGTGCAGACGATAAGAATGAGAATTTTTTATTTTTTTTTTTTAGCATTTCTTGAATATGAACTAGTTTTATTTTGTTGGTGGTGTTTCTTTTTTCTGAATAGCTACACACTGTAGTAAGTTTCAGTCCCATTTGCAGGAGGTAACCTGATGTGGCTGAGGCCTCGTTGGTTGTGTCATGTTCCTCTGGAGTCACTGCCATACCAACTAGTAATGAAGTTATGTGATGTTACTCAGACCTTCTGCTCCTGTCTTCCTACTCTGCTTCAGTGCAGACACCATCTGTGGCCCTGATGCTAATGTCTGCTTTGGAAAAGTGTCATGTAGTGCAGGCAGATGTAAAGTGATGTTGCAACTAATTAAAATAAGTAAATAAATAAAAATGAAATAAAACAGAAGAGTTATGTTTCTGGAACTAAACCATAGGTCTGAATCAGAGCTTTAAGACTTAGGATTTTGACACGTTCCCCTACGGGGAAAATAAGTCAGCCAGAAGAGGGTTTTTGCTGCCTACCCGCTTACATTGCTGATGCAAGAGAGTGCATTTTGTTGCTAATGCCATCATACTTCTGAATGTTGGGGGTAGTTATGTGTGAAGGGCAACATACAGACGTCTTGAAATGCTGTGGGAGCTTCCTTAGCCCCTTGTGTGTCACTAGGTCTAGCAGAGACGGGTGTTGGTCAGGAGCTCTCTGGTTGTCGTAAGAAAGCTGAACTGAAACTGCTGTGGAGAGGAGTCTTACCAGCAGCTGCCCAAGAGTGCTGCTGGGGAAACTACCGTGCTGCAACATAACCAACTGTAAGGGGACTTTAGCTGGTTTGTTTTTTTGTTTCTTCTTAATGTTGGCTGCTATGTGGGTCAAAACAAGGAGCCTCAATCTGCCCGACATTTAACCTCTTTGGCTTGATGCTTTCATACCCTGTTAGTGTTGTACTTCTGCTTACTCCCACTCCTTCCTCCTTTCTAACTGCAGGCTAAAAAGTCAGTTGCTCCACAGTGAATGTGATCAGCTTTGATCATTATATCAGATAGAAGAAAAGCTAGAAAAGATGCATCAGCTTAAAGTTTCATTAACTACCAATGTTCAGTGAAATTGAGGTAGATGGTCTGATCTGAGCATTGCTCAAGTGTTATGTCAAAGTGTGCAGGGATTTATAAGGCATTGACCTACAAGCATTATTGCAAAATGTTACTCATTTTGTAGTGCATTTCAGGATGACGTGCAGGGTTTATATTTTTTGTTCTGTGTTCTATTAGGGCAATCTGTTTGCCATAGTTTAGTCAGTTTTGTGGCAGGGTGAAGGACTATGGTCATTTTGCCACATGTGTTGTAGCCACAATCTGTTTACAGACTTGCAGCACATGTAACCCAATAGCTATATTTGTAGGGTTGCATTGCACAGAGCATTGCCAGCTAACTGAGTTGGGATGGCGCTGCTGAGAAGAGCTGCTACAAGAAAATGTTCTCCAGAAGTGATAGGATGATTTTAATCACTTTCCTTGCCAGCCTCAATGCTGCATCTCATTTTATTAATATCTAATTAATTTGTAGCAGGAATTTCTGAGCTGCAGTGTTTTTACAACCTCAAAAATAGAAAAGTGGAAAAAAAACCCAATCATATGAGCAATTAGTACGAGATTACAGTAGCTCCTCACAAGTCTTAGCCTGTTACACATTCTTCATCCTTCCTCTTTATAAAATTCTCTCCTAAAAAGGAATGTAGTAATGTACTCTGAAAGGTAACAAATTCATGCTCTATTGGACCAGAGGAGGAGGAAGTGTGCTAATGTTTAATGTGCTTTCAGTAAGTAGCTTCTTTTAAACAAAGATTTCTTGTGTTTCTCCTGACTGTTCTTTTGATGGTATCAGTGTCTGGGGGTTATAGCTCACAGTGTAGTCTAAACCCATCTTCAGTCATTTCTAGCCCAGTTCTAAAGCAGTAAGATCAATACCTGTCTGTAAACAAGTTTCACAATTCTTCACTGATATCCAGTTTGGGATAGCTTTGTGGTAGAGGATTGTCCAGATAGGATGCCTTGAAGTAGTCCAGTTTTGAGGTAAGAGAACCTAGAATAGCTGCAGCAGTTGTATTTATGTTTAGTAGCCTAGGTTATCTGTAATTGAAAATGCATGATTTGTATGTGGGTCAGTACTTGCATTTCCTGAAGTAGACCTGTAGTAGTTGAGTCATGAGACCTAATCCACTTCTTTTGCTTTTAAGACCTCATCTTCCTTGGATGTTGGTAATTAACTACATCCAAATAACAATCGCTATTCCTTAATTGCTTATATTTATGTATGTACAAGAGGAGGAACAATATGAGCACTGAACAATTATCTCATAAAGCAATTCCTAAGGAGAGAAAAGCCTTTACCCAAAGTTACCATGTAAAACTTCTTGTGCAATAGTAGCTGACTATAATAGAGTGGCTCTGTCTAAATGTTTTACAGAAGAAAAAATAAAGACAACTTTTTTTTGCAACAAATAATGATTAGTGGTATAAAACTGCTAGAAACATGCTCCAGAGATTCCTGATGTTTTGTCATATGGTCACACGAAAGCCAGTGTTGTAGGATTTCTTTCCTTCCATCTTCATTCAAATCAAGGAAGACATTAATGGCCAAGGGGATGGCTGAGCTTTGTGTCCCATCCTCAGTCATGAATTCACTCTGTGAATGAAAGCAAGAAAATGAGGGGACTTCATGCATTATTAGTCTTTCCTCACTGCAGTTCTCAACTAGCAATCCTTTCTCTTGTTCCTGTTTGGGAGGAAAGAGAAAAAAAGGGAGAGAGAAAGAAAATTAAAAGTGCAAAGGGGAGTTATCAAGACTGCCAACGTTGAAAGTGGGAAGTGCTCAAACCAGGCTTTGTAATGACTTCTTAATAGATATCTGAAGGTCTGTAACAAATCAGACAGTTCAGGCTGGCCTTGACATTTTTGTTCAGAGCCAGTGAAACTTCCTAACCCATATTCTTTGATTATTCTGCTGTTTTGTCTCTTGTACTAAGAAAACCTCTAAAAATAAAACTGAAAGAGGAATGGCATTGCACAGACCTATTTGTCTTGCTTCAGTTGAACTTAAATGCCTTTGGAAATGCAATAAAAAGAGAAAAAGAAAAATACTTTTCTTTACATCTTTATTTATGACAGCAGGTTACTTGGATTAGAAGCATATTCCTCTCAGTCCTGTCTGCTTGGTCTGTTCTGCCTCTCAAAAGAGCAGAGGCAGTACATGAAAAATTTAGATATTGATAATATGCATAGGTCACTCTGAAAGTAATGCCTCCTATTTATTGCCATGGGAACTATAACAGATACAAAAAGCACCATAACACTGATAGAGTGAACTCTCAGCTACAAAATGCTTCTTCAACACAATCACCAACATTAGCTCTGCATTTTTACCAGCAATGAACAAGAGCCTGCATAACATGCTTATAAAATTCTGCGTGGCTGTCTGGAACGTGGTTTGTCTTCCACATCACTGTTGCCACTGCTGAAACACACCACCCACCGTCTCACTGTGCTCACATCCACTGTTTGGTTTCCATAAATGTTCAGCAAGTGTTGATGAGTGTCAGTGGGTGCCATTTTTTCTACATGAAGGAGTTCAGTGATACGCTTCTGCTTCAGATGCCATTCTGTCAGACTGCATCTCTTCTCCCATCTGTTACACAGCAACAGCATGTAATGGAATATTGTTGGGAAAGTTCAGCCTCTGTTGCCATACCATCATAGCATCTTCTGAGTTGGTATCAACAGTTAACAGGCTGGTTCAAGCTGGTTTTATGACTAAAGGGGGGGTTGGAGACCCATGGACCCATGCCTTGGGAAAGGAGGAAAAGGAATCCTTAAAAAGTCATCCAGTCCAGCTCCCCTGCAAAGAACAGGAACACCTACAGCTAGATCAGGTTACACAGAGCCCCATTCAGCCTGACCTTGAATGTCTCCAGCTACCCACTGATGTCTGCCTCCAACATCATGGGCCAACATAATGAAGGCATTGCTTTTAGGACAATTTTGTACTAAAAGGTCGTTGCAAAACCTAATAAGAGGAATATTATTTTCATAAGTATGTTTTGAAGATTCCTGATTAATTACAGTATTGGTGAAGGTGATATTGAGTGAGAGCTAATGAAGGAATAGGTTCAAGATTTGATATTGAAAAAGGATCCAGTACAACTTAATTTTTTTAATTCCACTTACGATTAGTTGTTTCTTCAACATTTTCAAGTGAATGCTCTTCACTCTTGTCATCACTTGTAATTAACTTCTTTCTTTGAGTCTTCCTCACCAGACAGAGCAACCATGTTTATGACTTCAAAAAATGGTGTTTCTGTTAATGGTTCTCCCAGTCTTAGAAAAACAACTGACTTTCTTTCCAGCACTGGGAAAGATATAAGATAAAACAGAACTGAAAAATATTTTCTTTATGTGACAGCACGGTTTGCTGCTATCAGTGGGGACTTCCAGACAATTAAATAAGAAGACAACCTTGTTTTATTCCTGAAAATTCCATCTTGGTGATGTCTGAACAAGATAGTGCTCTGTATTTTGTTGAGCCTTTTCCACTGAAACCCTTCTGTTCACAGTTAATAGCCTATTCTTCTTATCTCTCCTGTATTAAGTGCTGTTAAAAGTACCTAAAAAGCCACAGAAATTTCCAAGGCAGATGAGCTTTGGAAAATCTTTACTAGAAGAAAATCTTTACTAATCTTTACACTAATATTGTAGGGCTGTCAGTCTTCTTGTAGAAATGGAAAAGACTCAGAATAGAACAAAAATCTTAAATGAATAGATATTGAATTTTCTCTGAATTAAGAAAAAAATATCATTCTTTTTTAGGTCCTTGTTCTTTTTTAATTACATCCATTTTTTTCTAAACTGAAGTTCATTTACTGGTGGTTTATTTCAGGGAAGAAGCCAAAACCCTCTCGTCCTGAGTCCCCTACAACAACTCCAAACATATCTGTGAAAAAGAAAAACAAAGACGGAAAGGGTAAGTCAAATAGTTGTCACTGAAGTTTTTAAAAAAGAATATTGGTTCTGATTGACACATGAAAAGAGAAGAGTTTGCAGTGATAGAGCAACAGATCTTGTACTCAAAGGTAGTTACCATTTCATCATAAATTATGTAAAAAAATTAGTGCGAGAAACTTCTTTGTAAATTACCCCATTCCTGGGAAGAAGGATGCATGTGTCATTTCAGTTGTAAGGGCTCTTGGAAAATCCTCAAGCCCCCACAGAGGCTGCTGTGTTTCTGTAGAAGTCTTGGGGAGCGCTTTGTATTGTATTAAGTTTTCTTGGGATACGATTGTTTTGACAGATGATCTTTGAAAACATTTTCCATCTGCATGTGTCTAATTCTGCACAGGGAGATGATCAAGGCTGCCAGCAGGGAAGTACCAGTGCCTTAAATTTGAGGGAAGTTAGCTTGAAGGCTTGGGCAGAATGCTTAGGTTTTCAGTACTTCCTTCGTTCCTTTCATGTTTAAAATGAGGAAAGAAAAAAAAAAAAAAGAAAAGAAAAGAGGACACATTACTGATACAATAAATAATTTCCCCTTTTGTGAACTGTTTAGCAGTGCCTGTCAGTTTTGTCAACTTGTTTCACTGTTGATCCAGTGCCCACTGAAACCTGGCTGTTTTATGAATTGCAGCCTGACACACTGCCTGCCACCAACTCCTGTGCACAGGGGAAGCTCTTCTGTGTCACCTCAAGTGCCACCACGTGTGCTTTTATCACCTGAACTGCTCTCCTGTTGTGCAGTACTCGCCAGGAGACAAGCTCTGCAAAACCTGGGAGGTGTCAGTCTCTTTTGAAATTTAAAAAATTACTACATTTGACCAAATAATGTGTTTTCTTCTGAATAAAATTTTTCGATTGTAGTAGGAAAAAAAGATCTGTTTGCAAGTAATAAATATTTTAAAAGCTTTGCTGGCACTTTTGAATATGCACTGCTGTGGTTTGTTTGTTCGTTTTTAATTAAGACCTGAGTTTTAAATGAAAGAAAAGCATCAGCAGTGCTCAAATGAAATAATGGGAAATATCAAAGCAGCTATCCATCTCCTCAAAGTTAAAAGGCAGATCTAACTTTCTGTTGAAGATAACAAGGATAAACTATACTATTCAACATTTGTCTCTTGTTACAAAATTGCTAACTCAGAAGGAATAAAGAGTGTGTTGCCTGAAGCCACTATTATGATAAAAACTACCATACAAGCATTTGTTCAGCATTTTTGAGGAACGTAGAATCAAAGCAGAAGAGATGATAATATGTGTGGCCATGGCACAGAAGCAACTAGAAAATCCTCAGAGTTGCTCATCTCTCGGTATCCGCACTGTTCCCCCTTAGGAGAGCATGTATGCTAAAATACTGACTTCTCCATTTAATTATTTTATACAGTCCATGGAGCAAATAGTGAGTTCTCTCTGTATTTCTTATGCTATAACTCACAGGAGGTTAGAAATCCTGCCTGGGAGTAAAACAGACAGTGCTTTCACAGACAGTCCTCTTCATAGTGATTTTTCAGTGGCTAAACAGATTTTCAGTCTGCCTTGATACTGCTAAGTTTTTTAGTCTAGACTACAACAAAAGCACCCTGGATTAGTGCTAATTGGCTGGGAATGCTGTCATTCCTGACTGACACGGTGTCTTGCCTAAACAATCTTAACCTTTGCCTTCAGGTGTCTGGAGGCAAACAGGCTGACATTTTCCACTAGGCTGGAAGAGATTTGTATCAAAGCCAGTGGATTTTCTCCAGAGATGCTTACTTTTCAGGTTTCTACCTTCTGAAGGAGTGTTAGGGTTTTATACTGTCAGTGCTGACTGATGACATTGCTGAATATTTGCAAGTGCCTTATAATGGGGGCTTGCTGGGTTAATCACCAAAATTTCAGTCAAACATGTTGGTTCATCACTAGAGCTGACCAACCCATATGGACAATAATGTATTTGTAGAAATTACAATAGGGTAGTTTTTAGAGTCTTAAGAATTTATAAGATACCTCCTCTAGTTAACAAAAAGTCCAGACTGGTGGCTGTGGAAGTTGAGAAGATGTCAGAATGAAGCTGAATCTAAGAGATCCTGTTATGTTCTCATTCACTGGGCATCTTTTTTTTTTTTTTTTGTGAAGCTGCAGGAATCTGCATATGCTGACCTTTCTGCGGTATTACATGGCTACTTGTGTGAGGAGATAATTTCACACAAGAGGTTTTCCTCATTCATCAGGCTGACAGTGTCTCAGTAAAAAGCTTTTCTACAGCTGTGACTGTCCAAAGGAACATCAAACACAAATAGCCTTAGAAAAAGTAGGCAAAAAGATCTCCTTAGTTATACCAGCTTAGACTCCTTAAATGCGTTTTCAGGACACAGAGTCTGTGGTAATTTTTTCACAGTCTGTGATTATAATGTGTGGAAAACAGCAAACAGGCATGTTGGATTTGCATATGTGGGTGTGCTTGTATCTGCTTCTACGTAAAATGCAGAGTTTAGGAAAAAGAGATGTTTTCTGAACTTTATCTCTGAGGTTTGCTTCCCTGGGCATTATATCTCTGAGTATCTCCCTCTTCCCCCCAAAAATATCTAGTTGTTAAAGCAGGGATTTTGTGCTTCATTTCCAGTTGCTTCAGAGGATGGACCTGAACATGTTCCTGTTCAATTGAAGTCACTGCTTCTGTGGCTGGGTTAGGCATGAAGGAAGCATGTGAATGGGAAGAGAATGCTGTCTGATCTTGATGGCTGGGATGTGATGTTTGTAGTTTGATGCTCACTCTGTGGGTTACAGACCACGGCTAGACTGGGCACCCCGATTAAACTAACTAACAAGAATCCCTTCCCATGCCTCTCTGTCACTATTTCCTAATCTTAACGTTATATTGCGGTGTGTTTGTAAAGATACCAACTTCTTAATTTTCAGGTTTACATTGAGAATAAAATATTGTCAACTAACTTTTTTTTTTTTTTTTTTCCTGAAATACTTGTATTTTAGGAAACACAATTTATCTCTGGGAGTTTTTACTAGCACTGCTTCAGGACAAAGCTACGTGTCCTAAGTATATCAAATGGACTCAAAGAGAGAAGGGCATTTTCAAACTTGTAGATTCCAAGGCCGTGTCCAGATTGTGGGGAAAACACAAAAACAAGCCTGACATGAATTATGAAACAATGGGTAGAGCTCTCAGGTATGTGCATTTTTAATAATAGACTGTTTTTGTTGCCATGGTGTTTGCATGCATTAAATGCCTCATCTAATTTGTGTAACAACGGTAAAGAGTTCTGTTAGCTTGGTAAATAAAGGACTTATTTCAGCAAAATTAATCAGCTAACTAAAAGTAACCCTTGCTAACCTAAACGACAAATCAATCACGTTCAGTTTCATCTTGCATGTTTTCGGTGCTGCCACCAAATCTGTATCTCATAATCACTCCCAAAACTGGAGATAGGAGATTCCAAAAGTGGCAAGGCTTTTCTGTAAAGTTTGACTCTCCTTCCTCCAAAAAGTCCTGAATTTACCTACAATAGAATTTAAGAAATTATTTGTTCCCATAGCAAATGACTCAGTTCTGAGTGGAAAATACAGTTTTAGAATTAAGATCTGCATGCGATTCTATGAACTTATATGTACAGTTTTTCAATAAGGGTTTATTCCACATACAGAAAAGACTGTACTAAATAAGTATAATCCTGTCAGTGTGAGTGATGCAAGCTTCAGTCTTACTTGCTGATTGATCATTGTCTAGCTGAGCAGCTGTGCATTTCTTTCATTGCCTTTCACCTCTCATCTCAATATATCTAATTTTATGTATTTGTAAAAATAACAGGAGTTCTCCTGTCCTGTTCTCTGTCCCTCCTCGTAGCTGAAGCATCTGTATGTGCTCACTGAGAATGAGCATAATTAAGACAACCAAAAGGACTGGATGTCTCGAGGAGACGTGGAAATTTTGCATGACTTTTAAGGAGTGTTAGTTTATAGCAGCTCTGCTAAGTCACAGAGTTTTTCTTGCTGTTCACTGTTACCTGAGGTTGAAATTTAAAGGCTATAAGACATACCATTAAAAGTTGTTTGAGTTAAAAATGTGCTACTAATTTGGCCACTCCTTCATAATAAGAAATGAGGCGTGTAAAATAGTATTTTAAGCCTCTTTTTTTCTTGCTAGTGCTGGTCTTATTTACTGTTCTTTTGTTAGTACGGGTCTTTCTTTTTCAGCTTGCTTTTTTTTTTTTTTTTGGTCAGAAAACACTCTGTAACTTGATGTATGTATGCTTTAAACAGATATTATTACCAAAGAGGAATACTGGCTAAAGTAGAAGGTCAGCGCCTAGTGTATCAGTTTAAGGAAATGCCAAAAGATCTCGTCTATATAGATGATGAAGATGCAAGTCCTAGCACTGAATCATCAGATTCAAGTTTGATCTCAACTCCTGTGGCCAGTAGAAACCAGTCGAGCAGATCTAGAGCATCTGCAAACACAGGAACAAAGGGAGGATCCACCACAGTTCTAAAAACAGGAAACTCAAAGCCTGCTAAGCTTAAGGAGCACGTAGAAGTTGTACAGCAGCAGACACCTGGCTTGACTTCAGAAGTTTTGAGGACAATGCAGTCTACGCAGCCAGTACATCCCACTCAGCTTTTTCGGACAGTTCACGTAATGCAGCCATTGCATACCCTCACAGAAGGACATGCAGCTGTAACCAGTAACGTTCCAGATGAAACGTTAAATCCCTCAGTTCAGAATATAAGGTAAGAAAATGTAAAGGAAATTAATGTATAAATATTAATAAATTCATTGGGTGGTGAGGAGGTAGACTACGTTCTTTATTGTGCTTCATAAAGCTTGCTCCTCTCCTGGCTGGATTTCAGTGAAATGGATGCTGTGCAGGTGACCCTGGGAATTAATTGGGAGTTTCTACAGTGCTCTTGAATGTCTGCATTCTTAAGCTGTGTGTCGTTTGCAGAGGGAAGCACTTATTTCCTCCAGGTTAGGACTGGTGCAAATCCCTTAAAGAGGAAGAATATACAACTTCTATTTAAAAATTACTACTGTTGGTTCTGTCTTGCAGCAGAGATAGTATTTTCATGGCTCTGGTTTTTCACTGTTTGTTGTCTTTGCTCTTGAATTATGTGTGATATGATTAGAAGAATCCGTCAGAAAGATTTGCCTTCTTCCTTCTCAATTCTTTTTATTATAAAATTTGTTATCACTTTCATCTTTTCTGTTGTCTCCAGTTAAAAGGGGAAAGCTCAGTTATGTACGTCAGCATTTTATTGCTGCTAAAAGAGCTTGTTCTTCTTCCCTTCACGGAACATTGAAATGGTAATTCTGGACCTTCGTTGTTTCACAAAAGCCTCAGGATATAATTCAGGAGCTGCACATTTTTAATGAATTATACACATCAGTTGTTGTTTGTTGTTGTTTTTTCCCCTTGAGATTTGTGTTGTTACAGTCGTTCTTTGAATGGTTATCATTTTATACTGCAAAAAGTCAATCATGTTTTTTCCTGCTCCCTTCCTGTCTTATTTCCTTTGAAAATTGCATCCAGAGCCACCGGTAGATCTGTGAGTATCTGGGGTTAACCATAGAATGTTGTCAGATGGAAATAACTAATGACATTAATGAGATCAAATAATTGTTTAGCTTCGAAAGAATACCTTTAGCTCTCTCATCTCTGCTGCTAGAGACTGTAAAAGCAAAGTCAGTTATTAAAACTGTATTTGTAAATGAAAGGAAGATTGATTCAGGAAAATCCAGAGTAGCAATACCAGCTAGGTTTTTCAGCTACAAGAGCTGAAGCTGCCTAGATCAGCCTGCAGCGGCTGATAAAACTGATAAGAAATGTCTTAGGAGATAACCAAGTAGTTGAAACTGAAGAGTTTCCATTTATTTGGAGGAGATGACAACACAAGACTTCAGCTTCAATCAAGAAATATGTGTATAATAAACTCTCTTCTTTCTTTGAGGCTAAAAAAAAATAAATCCCTGGTCATTCCAGTTTGGTGTTTTTTTCCTTGAAAATTAGGAAATGGTTTTCATTCATGTTGCAGTGTAAAAAAATTCATACTGAAATGTGAAATTCAGTGTTTCATAAAGGTTATAAGGGAATAAATACATTGAGCAATGTAATTACTGAAAAGTGCTGTAAAATGAACTGGAAGTAAGCAGTATCTGTTTTCATTTGTCTTTTACTGCGGAAATCAAATTGTTTTGTGTATAATCCTAATCAACTAAAATTAGCCCAAGAAAGAAAAGGTTGTATGTGATCAGACGGTTAGGTGGAAGTTACTCTCTAATTATGAAGAATTTGACAAAAAAAAAAAAAAAGAAAAAAAAAGTTTTGAAATTCCTTTGGGAAAAAAATCTGTGTCAGTGGGATGTGTGCACTTAAATTTTAAAGCCTAGGAACGAAGCTGCACAAGCTTGTGATTTCAAGGCTGATGAAGGATTTAATTACCTCCAAGTTGTAAAAACGTAGGTAGGTAACTAGTAGTGAAAGGAGATGAGTACAGGCACAACTGAAGCTATGCAGTACCACTTAAGTTGGGAGAAAATTGCTGTTAAACATCAGTAGGGCAGAGAGTGTGGCAATTTACAGAGTTAAATAGCTCTGGGCTACATCTACATTAGATTATTAATCAAAAACAATTCCAACTGGATGGATCATTATGTAGATACATAGGTCTATTTATGTAGTTACATAGATAGCTAAAAAAATGATAACAGTAAACAGAATGAAGACCTGTTAGACCCTGTTAGATAGGCAGGCAAGTGGTCCGTCTTAAGTAATGGAAAGCTGCAGAATGGTGTGATGGCAACCTGTTCACAGAATCACAGAATGGCCAGGGTTGGAAGGGACCTCGAGGACCGTGAATCTCCAACTCCCCTGCCACATGCAACCTTCCCATTTAATATTAGACCAGGTTGCCCAGGGCCCCATCCAACCTGGCCTTGAACACCTCCAGGGATGGAGCATCCACAACCTCTCTGGGCAGCCTGTTCCAGCATCTCACCACTCTCATAGTAAAGAACTTCCCCCTGACATCCAACCTAAATCTCCCCTCCCTCAACTTAAAACCTTTTCCCCTTGTCCTGCAGTTATTAACCCTTTCAAAGAGTTGATTCCCCTCCTGTTTGTAGGCTCCCTTTAGATACAGAAAGGCTGCAATGAGGTCACCCCACAGCCTTCTTTTCTCCAGGCTGAACAAGCCCAGCTCCTTCAGCCTGTCCTCATAGGGGAGGTGCTCCAGTCCCCTGATCATCTTTGTGGCCCTCCTCTGGACCCTCTCCAACAGCTCCCTGTCTTTCTTGTACTGGGGGCTCCACACTTGGATGCAGTGTTCCAGATGGGGCCTGTTGCATTACAGCACTTCACAATGAGTTTTTGGGCAGCAAAAGGCCATGGGGGAAGGTAGTAGATGATACACGTGTGAAGTTTGAATGAAATAAAAGCTGTGGAATCCTTAGAGTTTTGTACCACTTCAGTTGTGTTTCTGCTGTGTTGGTAACTTTTTTCCATAAGTCCTTCAGTTGTGTATTTCCTAGCCATGATGACAGTGTTTCAGGTGAAGGGAGGGGGGGAGAGAAGAGACCCACTGACTGGATCTTTCCAGTGCAGTTAAATTACTGAATGTTACAGAAATATTATTGTTCATTAGGAATGCAAGAATGCAAACACGCAATAGTGTTTGAGCAGTGAGACTGAAAAATAAAAAGGTATTTTTGTCCATGCTTTTAGCCAGGATAGACCAAGGTCCTGATAAGTCCAGGCTCCAAAAATGCAGTCTGTAACTTAAATTTTTGCTCAGTTTCAGACTTATGTTTTTGTTCAGTTTCAAACTGCAAACTTAAAAATCATTTCGCCAGATGGAAAAGCATATTAAAAAATTTAGGAGCTGATAGATTAGGTTTTGTTTTATTGTAAAGTTAAAACAGAGTAACTGTCTTAGTTTTGTTTGTGCAAGCAATTGTGGACCTCTGGCAGTTGAATGTCTGTGTACATGTTCTGAAGAGCTTCAGTGTACCTACCACGAGGGGCAGGATGATGGGTCTGCTTGATTTAAAAATGCACAGCACAAGTGAGCACCATTGTAAAAAGAGGGGCAGACAAACCTTGTGATGTATGCATACTGCTTATAGGAAAGGGCTTGGAGTCACCTTACTGTCATTTTATAAGGAAACTGGAGGAGCAATAGCAGCAGCCATTGCTGTGTGCTTTTTGGAGGGTGAGGCACATGGATAGTTGAGGTCATTTGGGAGAATAGGAGAGCGAGGCTTGGGAATGTTCCCCAGGAGCTTTTCCTGGTTAGTGGTCAGGCTCTGCCATGAGATTCAAACATCTTGGGCCCATAAAATTTGTCTCCTGTAATGTAGCCTCCAGAGTTTTATTCATATGAATGCTCTTTCCTTCATTTAAATAAATGTTCTTCCCTCTGCAGCAATTTGCTTCTGTCATGTTGAGTGGGGAAACAAAATTTATGATTAACCACATACTGTAGAGAATATATTGAGGGCTTTTGAGGTTAAAACAATTGGCTTCTTAACAAGTAACCATACCCTTCAGAGAAGAAGTCTGAACATGCATCTTCTCTGCTTGGGACTTGTTAAAAGAATTATGTTTGAAGAATGCTGTGCAAGATTTGTGTCCTCATCCCTCTGTGTGCCAGCTGACATTGCCTGGCACAGAGCTGGCAGAGCAGGGCAGCCGGTCCCCAGGGCTGCTGTGTGTTTCTGAAAGAAATTGGAATGCCAATGAAAGCAGGCAGGTTCTTTGCAGGATACAGGCAGTGCCTTCGTTTATTGCTGCTCAGAGCTCTCGTGGAGTTCTGTGTAATTTGAGCACAGAAAGGCTACGATGTAGTGCTAACCCAAGCTTGGAAGATAGGGCAGGAGCAGGATCAGGTTTTGCATACCAGGTTTCGCTGATCAGGATGGACACTGAGTATCTCAGATAAGAATATTTAACACGACAGACTCGCAGCTCTTCTGCTTTTCTTGGTGGATGTAAGTGCAGTTACAGAAGTTTCCAGTTGTGTCACTGGGAACTGAGTTTGGCACCACACGTTTCCAGTGATAAGATGAAAAATAAAATGCCTCTCTGGATGAGTATTCCGTTTCCAAACTTTTCCAGTGACCTGGCTTTTGAAGGCAAAAGAAAGGCTCTTTGAATGTTGTGCTTGTAGAATTGCCCTTTTAAAACTGAATAACTTGCACAGGTTATTTGTTTTGCAGGGATTTGTTATTGGAGTAATTCTGTTTTAGCTTGGAATTCAGTGGCACTAAAGCAGGCTTGGGATTCAACTTCACGTTCATAGGGTTGTTCTGAGTGTAAAGAGCATTCCTGCTGCTAGTCCAAAAACTATATGTCTCCTGAAAGACTGAGGCCTTACCTTGTCTGCATAGTGTAGGACATATAAGTCACCTGGGTGTGAGCCGTTGAATTGCACTTTTATATGACTGTGGCTGTAAATAGATACACATTTCCATGTACCTTTAATCTAGCATAGCAGTGATTTAAGATGGGGTGTCTTCTATGTAGTGAGGAGAGTTTGTTTCATTCCTAATAGTTCAGAGAGGATGAGATTGTGAATTTGTAGTAATTTAAAATACTGTGTCACTATTCCATAATAGGGACATAGCTGAATTTTCTAGCTGGCAGCTCTGTGTAGTAAAGAACTTCCAATTAGCTGGCTGCAGAGAGCTCCTGTGCAATGCATGGCCAAATCCAGGTTCTAAACACAATGTTTCT